ATCTTTGTCATGGCATCAGAGCTCCAAAATCCATAGGAGCCTGTTTAAAATTGTGGTCTGCATTGCCATTGTTTCCGCTGTGCGGCCTGCATTGCCGATTTTATTTTACGGTCTATATTGCCGTTTTCCCCAACAAAACTCAGAATGTCTGAACCAGTTAATACCCCTACCCCAAACACTAGCTCCGTTGAGCTGCAAAATGTTCAACCTAGCCTTCGTCTCAATGGTAAAAACTACCTCAAATGGTCTCATTTTGTCCAAACCTTTTTAAAGGGGAAGGGCAAATTGAATCATCTTACTGGAAAGGATACTCCAGTAGCTACAGACAAGAAATTTGCTGCATGGGATGAAGAAGATGTTGTGGTAATGTCATGGCTATGGAATTCCATGGTGCCTGAGATTAGTGATGCGTGCATATTCATGAAGACTGCCAAAGAGGTGTGGGACAGCTGTAAAGAAAACTATTCCAAGGTTGGTGATGCTGCACAAATTTACAAAATTAAGATGAAGATTGCGACTACCAAGCAAGGAGAGCGGTCCATTAGTGAGTATGCCCAAACTCTACAAAATCTATGGTTGGAGTTGGATCACTATGAGCATTTTGAGGCAAAATGCACAGCAGATGCTACTTTACTAAAAAATTATAAGGAGAAGGATAGAATATATAAGTTCTTAACAGGTCTGAACAACGAGTTTGATCCAATAAGGATTCAAGTACTCGGAAAAGAGTTACCTTCACTAAATGAAACCATGGCTGCCTTTCGAACAGAAGAATCGCGAAGAGGAGTGATGATGGAGCCTCAATCACATGAAAGTTCAGCCTTAGTAACACAAAGTCGAGAGAAGAACATTGACCAATGAAAGAACGGTCAAACCGGAGGAGCTCCCAAAATGGAGATTGAAAGAGGGGATAACAAGGATTCTCTATGGTGTACCTTCTGCAAGAAGTCAAGGCACACCGAAGACAGATGCTGGAAATGTCATGGAAAACCGCCAAATCAGAATCGAAATTGGAACACCAAAGGCATTCAACGAGGAGGACCAGCACATGCCCACTTGGTCCAATCAAGTGTTGTCGAGGAAAGTCATTCTAAACCTACTGCTGCTGCTGACTTCAATCCAAAAGAAATTACAAAGCTAAGGGAACTACTAGACTCTTTAGTCAAACCCACAAACACAGGTAGTTCTTCCATGGCATTATCAGGTAGTTCTCATCTCTATGCTCTTAGCGTTATACAATCTACAGAAAAAGGGACATGGATTGTTGATTCTGGGGCTACGAATCACATGACCCATTCCTCTACTGAGTTTATTTCTTACACACTGTGTCCAAGTAATAAAAAGATTGTCACTGCAGATGGCACTTTTATTACTGTTGCAGGAAAGGGAGATATTCCACTAAGTCAAAATTTAATGTCGAGAGATGTCTTGCATGTGCCCAAATTATCTGTCAAACTATTATCTATTCACAAACTTACGACAGATTTACAATGCTTAGTAACATTCACTCCTACACTTTGCAAATTTCAGGATCAGGAAACGGGGAAGACGATTGGACTTGCTAGAGAGGACAATGGGCTTTACCTTCTTATGGAAACGCGTGAGACAAATAGCATTAAGAGTCAACTTCCACTGTCTTTGTTGTCAGAATTTGTTCCTTCCCTCAATAAAGAAATCTGGTTGCGTCACTTCCGGTTGGGTCATCCTTCATTTAACACTCTCAAAAATATGTTTCCCACCTTGTTTCAAGGTATAAACTTAGAAACTTTTCATTGTGATGATTGTGAACTCGCTAAACACAAACGTGTTAGTTTTCCTAATAATAATAAAAGAATGTCTACTCCTTTTTCCTTAATCCATAGTGATGTTTGGGGGTCATCCAAATGTCCCAAATATATCTGGGGCCCGTTGGTTTGTAATTTTTATTGATGATTGTACCAGAGTGTCATGGATGTATCTCTTAAAACAAAAAAGTGAAGTCACTCAAATATTTAAATTGTTTTTTCAAATGATAAAAACCCAATTTGAGACTACCATCAAACTGTTTCGTTCTGATAATGCCAAAGATTATTTTAATCAAACATTGTCTTCCTTTTTCACTGAACATGGTATTATTCATGAATCATCATGTGTCCACACCCCACAACAAAATGGGGTGGCTGAAAGAAAAATTGGACATATTCTCAATGTTACCCGAGCATCTTTATTCCACACAAATGTTCCAAAACAATATTGGGGGGAGGCTGCTCATACTGCCACCTACTTGATTAACCGCTTACCCTCTCAAATTCTTTAGAATAACAGCCCCACTCAAGCTCCTTTCCAAATTCTACCCAAATTTCAAAACTTCAAACAACCTAATTCCTAGGATCTTTGGGTGTGTCATTTGTCCATGTTCATTCTCCACATCGAGGAAAGCTTGATCCTCGAGCTATTAAATGCATATTTCTTGGTTACTCCCCTACCCAAAAAGGTTACAAGTGTTATCAACCTACAACAAAAAAGAATTTTGTGTCTATTGATGTCACTTTTGTCGAAACCGAATCCTTTTTTTCCAAACCTTATCTTCAGGGGGAGAAGGAATACATCGAAGATAATGATGATTTGTTCAAAGACCTTTCTTTTATGCCCAAGACTCCTAATGCTACTCGTCCACTACAAGTTTACACAAGAAGGGCAGCACCTATTATCCAACCTGTGCAAGTCCCAGAATCTGACCCAATTCCTGAAACTGTAATTGATGAGACAGTTTTAAAGGAGCAAATAGTGCCCCCTGAAACTGAAGTTGATGGGACTGATTTAGAGGAGCAGAATATATCCATGGATGCTAGAGATCTTCCAATTGCAATAAGGAAGGATGTTAGAGCATGTACAAAAAGGCCAAGATATCCATTTTCTCACTTTATATCCTATGATAATTTGTCCAACAATCATAGAAGTTTTCTTGCTCATTTAAACACTACCTCTATCCCAAAAACGGTTACCGAAGCACTAGATAGCAAAGAGTGGAGAGAAGCTATGAAAGTCGAAATGGATGCACTAGAGAAAAATGGAACTTGGAATTTAGTAGAGCTTCCTAATGAAAAAAAACTTGTTGGTTGTAAATGGGTATTCACCCTTAAATACAAGTCCGATGGAACACTAGAAAGGTATAAAGCAAGACTAGTAGCTAAGGGGTACACGCAAACATATGGGATTGACTATCATGAGACTTTCTCTCCCGTCGCAAAAATGAGCACTGTCAGAATTTTGTTATCTCTAGCAGCTAACTATGGATGGAATATGCAGCAATTCGATGTCAAGAATGCTTTCCTACATGGCAACCTTGAAGAGGAAATTTACATGGAGGTCCCACCTGGGTTTAACTTTGAGAAAGGCAAAGTTTGTAAGTTAAGGAAAGCCCTTTATGGACTGAAACAGTCCCCTAGAGCCTGGTTTGGTAGGTTTACCACTGTGATGAAAGATATGGGATATAAACAAAGTCAGGGAGATCACACTTTGTTTACTAAGCATTCAGTCTTAGGGGGAGTTACTGCACTAATTGTCTATGTGGATGATATAATTGTAACAGGAAATCATCAAGCAGAAATGGATAGCCTAAAAGTGTGTTTGCTAAAAGAGTTTGAAGTAAAAGAGTTGGGCAGATTAAAATTTTTTTTTGGGCCTTGAGGTGGCACACTCCCGTCATGGTATTTTCATCTCTCAACAGAAGTATGTGCTGGATTTATTATCTAAAACTGGTAAATTGGGATGCAAACCAGTAGAAACTACAATTGAACAAAATCACAGACTTAGTGAATTTGTTGAAGATGCAACTGTGGACAGAGAATCCTATCAAAAGTTAGTTGGAAAGTTAATCTATTTATCTCACACTAGGCCAGACATAGCTTATGCAGTGGGAGTGGTGAGTCAATTCATGCATAATCCCAAAGAAAATCATCTTAGAGCTGTTTACCGAATTTTGCAATACTTGAAGGGCACTCCTGGAAAAGGAATTCTATTTACAAAGGGTCAAGGAATTACTTTGGAAGCCTATACAGATGCTGATTATGCTGGATCAGTAGATGACAGAAGATCCACATCCAAATATTGTACTTTTCTTGGAGAAAACTTAGTAAGTTGGAGGAGCAAAAAACAAAATGTTGTTGCGAGGTCAAGTGCAGAAGCAGAATTTCGGGCTATGGCTTTAGGTATTTGTGAACTCCTATGGCTGAAAATAATTCTACATGACCTAAAGATTGAATGGAATGGACCCATGAAACTATATTGTGACAACAAGTCAGCAATAAACATTGCACATAATCCAGTGCAACATGATAGAACGAAGCATGTCGAAGTAGACAGACATTTCATCAAGGAAAAATTGGATAGTGGGACAATATGTATACCATTTGTATCAACTGGAAATCAGCTGGCAGATGTTCTTACAAAAGGATTCAGTGGTTCTACATTTCAATCTATTATCGGCAAGTTGAGAATGGGTAACATCCACTCTCCAACTTGAGGGGGAGTGTTAGAACCAGCTGTACATGTGTTAATTAGTTGTATATTTTATATTTAAATAGGTTTAAAGGATTTGATTAGGTGTGTATGTATTTATAGAAACTATTGACCTTTAATTATAGAATTGACTGAGGGCAATGATGAATATTTATTAGGGATTTCCTTTTCTAAGTACGTTGTATTCTATTTAAGAGCACATGTTGCTCTATCAATAATAAGAAAAAACAATTATCTTTGTCATTATTCAATTCTTGAATCTATTCACTTAGACTTGGATATTGGAATCCATGATGAACTAGTAGAATTTTCATGAATGAGACTAAATTATTGAGGAAGAAAACTGTAAAGTTGGATCAGACATTATTATATAAGGTTTTTCACCAAAACTCATAAATAAATCAGTTATTGAGTTATCTCTCTACTCTGGAAAGGAAAAACAAGCATATGAACAAAGACAAATGCAATCAAACTAGAGCACCGAAAGACATTAAACTTACCTTGGTCTTCTTGCCAGAGTTAACATTAGTCACAAAATCCCCCTTCCGAATGACGCCCTCATAAATTCTTCAACCAAATATCAATACATTAACATATGTGAAATGTACTGAAAGGTTTCCACAAATTTGAAATATATATATACTATAAATGGAATTAACCATCTCCAAAGGTGAGAGGTACCTTAGATATGATAACTGACCAAACTTATTTTCCTCCAATTTGAAAGCCAATGCTACAAGGGGCCCATCAGGACTTCCAGTCAGCTCAATCTAGACAAGTAAAGACATACAGTAACCAGCAACTTCCTTTTTATTTGCTTAAACAAAAACATATAGTAAGGCAACAACAGTATCTGAAACACTTGAATATCACAATTTATTATGATTGTAATCTCTCTAGATCATTAGTTTGCAGCAAACAACCAAGACAATTTCCATAATCATATATGGTTTCATTGCAGAAATTGTCTCCGAGAAAAAATAATTAGCTCGCATCAAACCTAAATGGCTTCTGTAAACGTGAATGCAAGAATTACTTTAAACTTAGTATTTTCCAATATAGAAAAGCAATAGCATGGGCAGCTGAGAAACTCACCCCAAGCTTACATAATGACACCCACCTTGATACCTTAACTTCGAATGCCAAATATTCTCCAATCAAAAACCTTAATTTTCTATTTGAAAAATAATTTAAATTAGGAAGATGGGACCTACCTTTCAGATTTAACATTTCTTTTAATGTGAAGTGGTTAACTATTATCAAAATTTTGATTTTGTTAAATGTTAATTTGAACTTTGGGGTTTCATTTCTTTTCTGGCAAGTGAGTTACAATATCACCTAGATGCATTATAATGTTCACTACTGATATTTTACACTTTCTGAATGATTCATTTATTATTTTATTTATGAAGAACATGACTTCAAAGCAATTTTTATATTTTCAATTTTAAGAGAGAATCCTATAATTCGCTATTCAAAATTTTGGCTTTAAAACTCAAGTTGAAGTTTGCAGTAATCATGACAAAAAAACAATATCAAAGTAAAACACGGATTAACTTTCTACGAATTAGGTACCTTCTCCTCATTCTTAGATTGGTCAAGAGCATTATTACTGACTTCAATTGGACATGGCAAATAACTAAGTACTCCGTCCAGAAGTGACTGTACTCCCTGTATCAGTAGTGGAAGATTAAATATATACGAGAAGTGATAATTCAAACAACTAAACAGTATACATGATATCTAGAATGTGTAAGTTTGGATCATACTGACAAATGTGATTGGGCATGCCAGTGTGAGAATGCATGCATGTGAAATAATAATTTAGGGAGGCTACTGTTTATTAAAGGGATTATATTAGAGAAAGAGTACTGTATATTTAAACAGATTATTAAGGGATGGCAATATCCAAAATGGGTAATAACTTCCATACAGTATGTAATATACAAGGAATGGATATGACTATTGTAGAAGATTATTATTGAAGTCCTGCTGTTATGTTCCAACAGGGCATTTATATCCACACACCAAGCCCAATAGTGTTGGACGTGAGAGGGTGTGTCAAGAGTCACACATCGGACAATACATGGTTTGAACATGTGTTATAAGTGAGATTAATCCTCATCTTATAAGCCGGTTTTGTAGAGTTGTGTTGGGCCCAACCACAATTCTAAGACATACCACCATACCATTAAGTCAAAAATCAATGAAAATAATATTACTAAGCATACATCTTTACCAAATGGGAGGAACAAAGAAGTTTATTATGCAGTATGAATTTATATGTGAAGTTAAGAGCGGAAGGTGAGTTCAATGATTACCTTGTTTTTGAAAGCACTACCCATGAATACCGGTATAAATTTTTGTGCTATGGTAGCCCTACGAATTGCTCCCTACACAAACACAATAACCAGAAATTATAAACTACATTAAAATATATGTGGATAAAGAGGTAAAGCAGGTGGAGGCCTAATAGAGTTTATGCTAGATTTAAGCACAAGTATAATCAGAATTACTAGTTGCTACTGAACTATAGATGATTAGCTCCATTAAAAGCTAAACATAGGAGATGATTCCCCTTCTAGTTAATAATGCAATGTAAACATAGGTAGACACCTCTAGCTATGCCTCTAGTTCACTGTCAACGTCAGTTTGGTCATTATCTCCTTAATCACATATGAACATTTGGAAAGTGCAGCCAATAACTTCTTTTGGGCTGCTGGTGTAGACTCATGGTTTGTAACATAGGGAGGACCATAATGATTAAGGACCACCCCATATCAAACAAGCAAGCCAAGGATATTCCTACAAGGAATCACGATAGGCAGAAACCAACTAATGCCAAACTTTAGTTACAGGCCCTTTTTATCAAAATAGCACATAAAAAACATCAACTGATGTGTTATTCTTACAATTTTCAGACAAAAAACCATGCATATGAGCAGATTCGTGAATCAAAGAAAAATAGGAACTATGCCATACAATTTTCTGTTAAAAAAGTGAGACCATTGCAATCTAACATGTCTATATCATTTCCACAACATATTCAGAGAACAGGCCAAGAAACTAATTGTTAGAATTAGGATAGTATGATATGATTGATGCATTTCCCATAAATCAAATAATTCTCATACAAAACTCAGGAATATGAAAAAATGCTACCTACTCACCTCAAGATCAGCATCTGAAATGGCTTCATCACTAAGAAACGCTTCAGCAAGTATATCATCAACCTCTGACACGGTTTCTATTAGTTCGCGTCGTTTTTCAGCCACCAAGGCTTCCATATCTGAAGGCACATCTTCAATGACAATTTTTTCGCTGCACTAAGCAATGTTTGAATAAGCTAAAGAAATATGGCAGAAGTAATCATGGGAAAAAATAATGGAGAATTTTGAAAACATACCCATTTGAACCATGAAAATAATAGGCCTTTAGCTTCACAAGATCAACAAGTCCCTTAAAATCATCTTCCAAACCAATTGGAACTTGAACTGCAGCATTATGATGCCGAAGCTTAGATCTAGCCTGAAGAATAAAACAAATTGGTATCGAAAATGGAAAACATTCAATTCGAAAATAAGAATGAAGAAGAATTTTTAAAAACAATGAAGTTAATCATTAATTAATAAATAAATAAATAGTAGAAGTTGTCAAGTAATAAAAACAAATTTTATAGCTGACCTCCATAAATGCCACTAGACACCTCTTTTCAAGATAACCAAATTTGTGTAAATGAGATTATAATTTAAACATAATAGGTCCCTAGGTCCCTTAACTTTAAGTAAATTTTGCTTTGTTTCCCTAACTAGAAAATGTTAGGTAATGGTCCATTAACTTCTCTTCCGTTAAACTATTTGGTCTCTTCCGTTAGTTTGGGTGGAAAAAACGTTAACTATGGCTGAGGTGGCATGTCAAGTATACAAACAGTAAAGTGACAATTCTTCATCTTCTTCCCTCTTCTCTTTCTTTATCTTTATCCTCCCCTTCACATTCATATCAAAACCCAAAAAATTTTAAAATAAATTTTTTTTTTATCATACACCATCTAACAATTAAACTCAAAAATAAAACTTCAACACAAACATAATATAATTAAATTGCTAATTAGGGCTGAAAATGAGTTGAATCGAGTCGAACTAACCTCAGCTCGGCTCGAATCATTAAGAATTTGTTAAGCTCAAATTTCGATTCTAGTTCTACGCGAACTTTTTTTTAAACTCAAATTCGACTCGTTATAAGTTCACAATAATTCAGTACATCTCGTTAGGTAAAGTTCACTTGCTTCACAGACTTAAAAGTCTTTTTTTAAGTTTTTTTTTTATATATTTGACATTTTAAATTAATTATTTTTTAAAAGAAAATATTGAAATAAAATAAAAGGTATCATATTGAAATTTAACTTTAACTTTGTTTCAAAAATCTACTAATTCAAAAACTACACGACTTTCAAGAGATACATTTGAAAGTCTAATTCAAAAACTACTCAATTGGAGTCTAAATTTGTCTCAAAAATCCACAATATAGGGTTAAGTTTTGGAGTAAATATTTAAACCTGCTCTTAAAGACAATATAATTCTTCTCATATATAATCGAATTGACTCATGAACCTAACGAGTCGAACTATATATAGTTTAAATTTAGCTCATTTACTTAACGAACTTAGTTTTTCGCTCATATTCAACTCATTTGTTCATAAACCTAGTTCAACGATTTAATTGTCGAACCGAGTTTCAAACTATTTTCGAGTTGGTTCGGTTTATTGTCAACCCTATTGCTAATCTATATTATTATATCACAGAAGAATATAATAAAGTTTTACCCTAAGTAGAAGAATTTTCTTAAAGTTTTAACTTTTAAGATTAGGTAGAAGAATTTTTTTTTAGTAGAAAATTTTCTTACCCTCACAACACACACGCTTATTAATAACTTCAAAATTACAGTGTATTAAACACTTTTATTAAACACTTTTATTGGGTCATTAGAAAATGTTTTAACTACGTAAATTGATAATTATCTTTTTTCTTGAAGTCATTGTTGTCTGTATTGTGTCATGATTTATGAAGCATATATTTAACATAAAAGAACAAGCTTAGAATGAGATCTGTTAATGAAGATAAATTGTACTTTCTAAATTTTGTTTATTTTTAGGCATAAAAGATAGCGGTGTTTTATTCTGTAACCAAATGCCATTTTGTCTCCGAAAATGTTAATTTACCCGATTTTGCGCCTATCATAGTCATGTTGTGCTGCAGGCATGCTACTTGGTGGAGATTTTGCACTTACACACTGTTTACCTTTTTTCTCTATTCTGCTTGTTTTTTAGATTCACACTTCTCCCATAGTTGTTAGAAATATGATCTATTGGTGGTTTTTAAGTGGACAACTGGACATAATGCCAAATATTTATTAATGGAATAATTATATTAATGAAATGGCATACTATCTCTTTATCGTATAACCTGTTCCCAACTTGTAGCAGGTGAGTGGAAGAAGAAAGATAGAAATGGAGTTATTTGAGGTGGGGGATGTGTAGTTGAGCACTTGGCAGAAAGTGTAGAAAGGTGTTAGTTTTGATGAGAGAGGGTAGAGTAACACGTGAAGAAGAGGGAAGAGTAGTTAGCTCCTCTCTTACAACAATATTAAAGTAAATAAATTCCACATCAAATATAAATAGCTCAGTATGACATCTTTTAACATTTTTCCAATAGAAACTAAGGGAAAGGACCAAATAATTTAATGGAAGTGAAGTTAAGGGACGATTATGTAACGTTTTTTAGTTAGGGGATCAAAGCAAAACTTCTTATAAAGTTAAGGGACTACATGATGCATTAAGCCTATAATTTATAACTATAAAACATATTATCTTAGCTGACCTCTATAAATCTCATTCACACCTGATTTATTACTTTCCATGGATCTGCTCCCATTCGATCAAGCTTGTTAATAAATGCAAGTCTTGGAACCTCATATCTTCTCATTTGCCGATCAACAGTAATGGACTGACTTTGCACCCCACCAACACTACAAAACACAAGAATGGCACCATCAAGGACACGCAAAGCCCTCTCAACCTCAATGGTGAAATCAACATGACCAGGTGTGTCAATTATGTTGATCTGCAACAAAACATTTTGCAGAAATTTCAATGTAAATAACCACAAGAGAAAGTCATTATCAAAAGCAGTTTGAAGAATACATTATTGTAAGTTGTAACTTCCAGTGAATACTGCAAAAGGGAAAAATAAGTAGTCTTCCTTTATTTTACCCATTTCAGTTATGCATAACTAAAAAAACAGAAAATATCTTCAATTGTTATCCTTCCTCTATGATGACAGATAATCACCAAAGGTAACTTACACTGACTAAGATAACAGTACAGCACTCAAATCTCAAATTCCTCCCTCAAACAAGTGAAAATTAATTACTCGTCATTCAATTCTCAATCCCTATTATCCGAAATCTTAAAAGAACAGCGGAAACATTTCAAAGAGCTTAATAGTCCTACCTTATGAAGTAATGGCATTTTCGTCTCTTGGGGAATAGATTCTAATATAGCTTATGATATGTCCATAAACTATTTTCATTTTATTTTTGGAATCTCTGTATATGATAGGTGTTAATTGATATGTCCCTATTTGAATGTAGGAATAGCTTATTTATAATCTCTTATAAGATAAATGCTTATTGTGTAAGCACTTAATTAAGTTGCTTATTGAAATCCATGCTCCCAAAGACCCACTACTACAACCATTAATCATTTTTTATATTGACAATAATAATAATAATAATAATAATAATAATAATAATAATAATAATAATAATAATAATAATAATAATAATAATAATAATAACCGAGCACTCGTATATCCTGCCTCTGTAGTCTCAATTTCAATTTCAGATTAAAAAAAAAACATACAACTTAAAACTATTGAGGGAGAGTTTAGTCATTCATATGGTTCTCTTGGTGATTGGTATCTGCAATTGGGTGCAAGGATGACCCCGTTTATAATTATATATCATAAATAGTAACAATGGAGCACTCATAATCTCACATATCATGCCTTCATGGTATCGAGTTTGAATTCAACTCAGACACCGCAGCAACAAGAAACTTAACTATTGAGGAAGAGTTTAACTACCCATTTGGTTCTCTTGATCATAAGTCTACACAATTTCATGCCGGGATGGCCCCACCCCAATTTATACCATAACAAAAAACAATATTGCATCTATAATTTTATTGAATCCTAAACCTTCAAAAATAAAAAATGTCTCGTTCTGTTAGCTCAATTGGTAGCTTAGTGACATTAGATGCAAGAAGGCAGGTTCGAACCTGCCACATCCCGCTTATTCACCTTCAAAAGAAAAAGTGAAATTCTAGCTACAAGGCTACTTGACAAAAAAAAAACTCACTACACTTCCAAATTCAAATTCAACTTGAACTCAACTAAAATCTCATAGTTCTCATTTCTCCGATTTAAAATTTTTATATATTCTTGCAAGGAATGAAAAGCAAAATCCCTTTCAAAATTCACACTCTACTTTACTTCACTTCAATTGGATTCAATTAGAATTCAGCAATACAAACTGAAAATACATAGTTACATATAAAGTATGACCTTATAGTCCTTCCAAGTGCAATGAGTAGCAGCAGACTGAATGGTGATTCCCTTCTCTCTCTCCAACGCCATGGAATCCATCTTAGCACCCACGCCATCCTTCCCTCTCACCTCGTGGATTTCGTGGATCCGACCAGTGTAGAACAGTACTCGCTCCGTCAAAGTCGTCTTCCCGGAATCGATGTGAGCTGAGATACCGATGTTGCGAATCATTTCCATTGACTCCATCCACCAAGGCTCCTTGTTAATTGACGCTGCCTTGGCACGGGCCACGTTTCCGGCTGAGAAGTGTCGGAGGTGGAAAGCGCCGCCGATGAGGAAATCGGTTGGGGATGGAGAGACTGTGATGGAGGAGGAGGAGCATAGTGCGTATAGAAGGCGATGAGCAGAGGACTTAGAGAAGCGAACCATGGTGGTAGGGTTCCCCTTGGGGTTTTCGGCTTTTCAGAGGTGTTTGAAAAATGAAAGCTAAAACCCTTTACCAAAACGAAACGATGAAATTATAACGGGTCGGGTATGTTTTGTGAGTCGGGTTTAACACGTGAATGTGGATCGCAGTTACTATGTGGATCAAATCAAAGGCCTCCATTACAAGAAGTATTATGAGGGATTTTAGAGAATTAAACCTTATGACCCCTCAAATTAGATAAAATTACCAAAATATATTTTTAATTAAAAAAATTAAATTACAAAATATTTGAGGCTAAATATTGTGTATTGGTGTTTTTGACAAAAATATGATATAAATGCATTTAGATATATAGGATTTTTAACTAATGTATATGGTTATATTGGATTTGATAAAATATAGGGTGGAAATAGGGGTGAGCAGAACCCAACTCAACTCGAAGACCTGTCCCACCTCAATATAGGTAGGATGGGTTCGGGTTGACCATTGGGTTATCCAACCCATCCTAATATTATGAATGGATATGTGATACTATTTATTTATTTAATTTATTTATTGGTATATTTAGATTATTCCAAATTTTCAATAGACTTTCTCACTTTTCACCTCATAATTTAATATATGCACTAAGTAAATACTAAGTACACATTTGTTCTCTTACATCATGTTTTTTATTTTTTATCTTCTTACTATGTTTTAGGGGGAAAAAGGTGATGACATATTATCGGGATTTTTACGGGTTTAGGTATGGGCGGGTTAGGATCATTAAAATAACCCGATCAAAATTTAGGACAGGGTTAGGGTTAGTCATAACCCATCCCAACCTGTCCCTTACTCAACCCTAGGTGGAAATGCATATGATCATGGATATGATCTTAGATATTTGTGAAATTTTGGTAATTGTTTTCAAATATTTGGGAGATAATGTTTTTTATTGTTTGATTATTTATATCTATAGTGAGACAAATAAAAAAAAATATGGTAATATACAAAAGTCTTGGTGCAATCACGATCATATAAAAGTGTTAGTGCAATCCCGATCATATAAAAATGGTGGTGTAATTCTGATCATACAAAGGTGTTTGAGCAATTCAAATCATACAAAAGTGGTCATGCAATCCTAATCATGTTGACTTTCTAACTTTGTTTTACAAATGCCTTATATGTCCCGCATATGTTGTTTCTCATTATCTACCTTCACCATAATTCTCTCTCCAATGGTTAGTGACGGGAGGCAATGAACAATTAGGCTTTAACTTCAACAAACCCTAATGAGTGTTTGTTGACAAAACCAACTGCAATAAGTTTATGTCTACTCGCAAACCTATATGGAGATAACACAAGTGGAAAGAATGTGATGTTAAAGTTATGGGACAACGAGACAAATACCACATTGTATCAATAGGTAGTAGGATAACTTATATAAAAAATCATCATTCATTTGGCATACCCTTAAACACCCAAACTAAATATTCTTAATAAACTCCTAACTTCTGAAACAGTGTCGTAGAACACCTTGAAATACAAATCATTATTGTGAAAAACATCACCATCTAACTGTGTTTGAACCAAAGACTATGACTCTTAAACTCATTTAAGTAAATCTCCAATATCACGGAAACCATAAATTCTACCAGCCCCAACATCTATAATATCTTCAATATAGTCATGCAAGAAACTTGGAAATTAAGGCAAGTATAGGTGTCTTGAAGACTTGTTAGGTGGTTGATTTGAGTGTGCTTTATTAGTTGATCTCTTATACGTTTGACTTTTCTGTGAGGCATCAACATGCTCCCAATATGAAGGATCATGATGCACATCACCCTTTTGCCCCTCTTTTACTCTTTTTAACTTTCTTTTTAGGCTTGAACTTCACAGGTGGCAGACACATAAAAGCTGTACATGGATATGCAAGCTCACGCACATTTTTCTTCATCTCCCACTAGGCAATAATATCTAAGGTGCTGAAATACTTCTTCAATTATTCACATTCATCGTTTAAGTCTAGTTGTGTTATAGTTCCTTCTTCAATGATTTAACGTTCTTCAATATGTAATTTCCTCCAAAATACATTAGTGGAATCCAAGGGAACAATATCACGTTATACTTGAAGAGGTGTAAGTCCACATGCACATGGCAACCCATGTGTTGTCCTAATGAACTGTCTACATGCAACTTTCTCAATACCGTCTTTTTTCACTCGTTCAAACTCTTTAGTAATGTGATGTTTACAACGTCTTGATATGAAACCATGTAATGTTGAATAAAAAGAAGTGTTACGTCGATGCTCAATGTTCACAACACTTTTTGAAATTATATTATAATCGCACCTAGTTGCAACTTCAACATGGTGTTGATTACGTTAATTCTATGTTTTTGAGATTGACAACAATTTTGTTAAAACAAGTATCACAATAATATGTTACGCAAGATGTCTTGACATGTTAGTCAGATATCATTGCAGAGATGTCAAGCACAATGTCTTGACATGTTATACCAGGTTTTAGGGTTTTGCTTCTTGGAAGATTTGTTTTTAAATGTGAGATTTTTTATGGTTTTAGTTCACATTATGTCGCAGCCCAATGAGGGTTATTTTACGAACGTTAGTTTTATACCAGAAGTGCATTTGTTTCATAAAAAAAGACTTGGAGACTTTTTAGGAAACACTATATTTTGTTCCTATTTTTATGCAGATGATTATGCATAATATCTGTAGCTGCTTTTGGATATGCGTTTTATTTAGATGAAGAGCCCAAAGCCCATGCTTATCAAAACATATATAAAGGATGGTTCTAAACCTAATTGTGTATCGAAGTTATGTTTGTGAACAAAGTTTTTAAGGTTTAATATGTTCTTTGTTATTTGTGATCCACTATTATATCATTCTTGATTCTGAGTTGGAATGTGTTTATTTGTGAGTCATTCATGCATCACTCAGATTCTTGAAGTGGAATGATTTTATTGAGTTGTAATTGTGAATCAATGCGAGCTTTTAAGAAAAAGTGGATTTTGTGTCATTGGAAGTATGTCTTTTATTATTCATTGTTTTATCATTGTTATGTGATTGAAGGAAAGTGAGAAGGCTCTCATATATAGGAGTGTCTTAGATAGAAATAACATGGGTAATGATTAGGTGAGAGTAATGTAAACCAGAGGTAGTTTACTTAGGCTTCAAACTAATACTATTATAATGGATTTTCTTTCTGACTTAGTAGCCCCCAGATGTAGGTGATGTTACACTGAATTGGGTTAACAATTGACTATGTTGTTTACTTTCAACTATTCACTTTAACTGTATAATTGTTTGGTTTGTGTTGTTGTCCTGATCCCAGTGTCATGATATCTTACTCGACATTTGATGTCTAATTATCAAAATTTGAATTGGTATCAAAGCAGACACCCTATTTTGTTTAGGGTGAGCTCCAGGGAAGATACTTTCTGGTACTATGGAAAAGAAAGGAGAAGCAAATGTTAACAGACCCCCAGTCTTAGATGGCACCAAATATGACTATTGGAAGACACGTATGGTGGCTTTCCTAAAATTTATGGATAGAAAAACTTGGAAAGTTATCATCAAGGGTTGGTAACATCCTGTTGTTAAGGATAAATATGGGAAGGAGACCTTTAAGCTAGAAGAGGATTGGTCTAAGGAAGAAGATGAAGCTGCTATTGGAAACTCCAAAGCCTTGAATGCCCTATTCAATGGGGTTGACAAAAACATGTTCAGATTAATAAACACTTGTATTGTGGCCAAAGATGCTTGGGGAGATTCTCAAAACCAGTCATGAAGGCACATTTAAGGTGAATATGTCTAGACTTCAGTTGCTCACTACCAAATTTGAAAGTCTGAAGATGAAGGATGATGAGAGGATTCATGACTTTATGTTCTTGAAATAGAAAATGCTTTTAGTGTCATGGGAGAAAAGATATCAGAAGAAAATATGGTTAGGAAGATTCTCAGGCCCCTACCAAAGAGATTTGACATGAAGGTCATAGCCATTGAACAAGCCCAAGACATAAGCAAACTGAGACTGAATGAACTTGTTGGGTCACTTCAAACTTTTGAATTGGCTATTAGTGACAGGTCTGAAAAGGAGAATGAGAGCATAGCTTTTGTCTCCAACACTGAAGATGAAGAGGATCAATGTGACCTAGAGACCGATGAAGGAATATCTAATGTTCTTGTGTTGCTTGGAAGGAAATTCAACACGGTGCTAAAAAGAATGTGAAGGTGAGAAAAACACTTAGAAGGGGGGGTTGAATAAGAGTTTTAAGAAATATGGCAATAAAAACAACTCAAGATTTTTATCCTGGTTCGTTGAACTCAACTACTCCAGTCCACCTTATCAAAGATGATTTGCCTTTCTCCACAAGGACTTAATCCACTATTGATCAACTGATTACAATAGAAAGCACTAGGAACAATTGTCTTAGTCTTCTCAAGAACTACTGACCACACCTTGGTCTTCTTAAGGAACTTCTTACAAATTAATGTAAACTAACAAGTGTTTGAATGCTTCTAATAAGCTGTATCACAGTTGTGATGTTTACACTTAAAGATTAAGTACAACAACAAAAACTATACAGTTTTATGAGAGATCAAATGAATAAGATCTTAGTGAGATTTTCACTTTTATGAATCAGGCGTGTATTTCTTTCTGAGTGAACAAGCAATGAGCAAATGGTGAGTAGTGAATTAGCAGCTTCAAAATGTTGTAGAAGTTCTCCTTTTATAGCTTTTTCAAATTGCTTTGAGTGATGTACAGTTGTATATAATATTAGATTATAAGACTTTTCATTACCCAAAAAGTATGGGCGGAGATATGCTTTCTGCAGAAAGGTATGGTTGTAGAAGCCTTGGGATTTACACCACGTCACTTCTTTGGACAAATTAGTCGTTGGTTACTTTGGAAGTAGCACCACGTCTAATCAAGTTTTACAGCTTATTCAACAAGCTTCCTTCAGAATGAAGTCTTCATAATCTGCACTTCAGAACATGTAA